GTGTGTGTGTGTGTGTGTGTGTGTGTGTGTGTGTTTTGGGGAAAGCTTTCCTGAATTCTCGAGAGACAACGAATCACCAGCAATGGGCCCACCAGTGCCCATAAACTGCCAAAAAGAGGCACCTATCAAAAACAGAATCACCTCCTCATCTGGCTGCATTTATGTCTCCCAATCTAGCTACTCCCAGGCTGTTGTTACAATATCTCAGATGGATGGATGGATGGACGGACGGATGGATGTGACCCTTTATTTAGCCTTCATCTGTAGTGTGATGGTATTCTGTGGGTAGATTAGTTTCACTTTCTCGTTCATTCAAACAGATCTGACTTATGAGGGGCCCAGATCTTTCTTTTTACCCTTTCTTTTTGGGAAACCAGTCTTGCCGCTAGGGAGGGTGATACGAGCACCCCCCCTTAGCGATCATCCTGGATGCTCCAGTCTATTGGTGGGGAGCCGCACCTGCTGGAAACGGCGTCCAGCGCCCCATTTTACATCAAACGTCTAAGCCTCCATCGGAATATCTTATTTATAATTTTATAGCTTGTCCCAGATTTTCTCTGATTCTCCTCTTGTGCGCGTTCTCTGCATCCAGACGACCCTACTCCATTATGGATGCTTTCAGAGGTGAGGTCCCCCCCCTATCAAAGAGGATTGGATTAAGCATCTGAATTAGGTCGTGTTGTAAGCAGATGTGCAGAAAAGCAGAGCAATCGCAATTTTGTGTACCGCTCCACAAACACGTCCAGATTCAGGCTTTAATCTGATCCCCTTCGCTAGTCGAACTCGTGATCAGTTACATATGTATGCCATTCAGCCAGACGCGCTAGGCGCTAAGGAAAGTCAAAAAGATAGAAAAAAAAGGACAAGAGTTCAGCTGTCCTTGAGGACATCCGTCAAAATTGGAACGACAGCAGAGAAGATTACCCCCCCCCCCCCTTCCTTAAATCCAGGGTGTTGTAGAGGCCAGTTACTAGGCTCACATTGATCGCCGGAAGCTGTCAGCCATGGTTGGCCTGAAGAGACAAGGCTACCTCCCATCCCATCCTCGCGTTAGCATGGCCCCTGCGCAAGGAAAAGAAGGACAAGAGTTCAGCTGTATGCCTGCAGGTCCTTTCTTAGGGCCAGGTCGAATCACTACTGGTGGTGCTATGTTCATGCTAACCACTCACCCACCAGGTCAATTTTGCGACCAGGTTCATGCTAACCAATCACCCACCAGGTCAATTTTGCGACCAGGTTCATGCTAACCAATCACCCACCTGGTCAATCTTGTGACCAGGTTCATGATTTCATACCCGGTTTAGTGGACTAACAGAAAGGAAGCCAAGGGATGAAGGCGGGTGGTTAAACCCCTGCGAAGAGTTCCACGGCGGCTGACGAAACATAACATGTTAGGGGTCATATCGGTGTTGAAGAACAGCTAGTATTGAATTTCGTTCGCGCTCGCTCATCCACGTTCTATACGGTGCAGTGTGACTGCGATCAGACTGCCGTGTGTGCATGTGCATACGAAGTGATTGATATCCTGCATTACGACAGTCACAATCAATCGATTTGTATGCACATCCACTCTGAACCGCACGCGGGAATTAATTACACCTTTTTTCTTTTCCCTGGGAAGCTCCATCTATTGGTGGGGAACAGCACCTGCTGGAAAGCGGGTCCAGCGTCCCTCACATTAATGGTGTCTTATGAATCAGCACCTCTTCATCCATTGTTGAACGCCAGATCTAGCACTGCTACCTGGTCTTGATTCACTTAAGAGAACCTGAAGATCCAACCTGTTCTACACTGCTACCTGGTCCTGATTCACTTAAGAGGACATGAAGATCCAACCTGATCTGAGGACATAGGGGCTCGTTCCACACTCCTCGGGCGCGTAAATCCCCCGAGGAAATGATCGTTCCACTTATCCTCAGGGAAGAAATTGAAAAAAAAATGTGAAAACATTTCCTCGGGGATTCCTCGGGGATTCCTCGGGCCACAGCCATTTCGACGCGTTCCCCAAGGGACCTCCCGAGGTCCCTCGGAGGTCGAGCATCCGGAAGAATCCGGACGTCGTCGGCAGCTCTCTCGACGACATTTTGCGACGGCCGTCTGTACCACTGTTGTTCCTGATCAGCAACGGTCGGCGTCATGGAAGAGTGCGCCAACGGTCCCTTTTTGCGGCCCGGTCGCTTCCCCGACGTCGAGAAGCGGCTTTCTTGCGTCGCCGCCCTTGTCCCCGAGCGGGAAGGCGCCCAACGGTCGCAAGATTCGAATATTTGAACCGTCCCCCGGCAGAGCGATTGCGCAATGTGTTCACAAACGGAATGCGTTACCGTGCTTTCGTCATTTGTTGCGGCCAGGCGTTTGCAGCAGTGTCCGTCGCCGTTACGTGATAGATCCCCCGTTGTCTACTAGCTGCCACTGTCATCCACGTGCTTTTCATGGCCGACGTCTTTCGGAGGCTGCCGCTGCTGCTGCTGGTCATCCTATTGCTCCTCCTCCTGGTTGTCTTCCACGTGTGCATCCTCGGCGGCCTTCCGCGACGTTGTCGCAGAAGGAGGTGTGTGAAGAACAACGACAGAATGGAGGGCCGGAAGGCAATCAGCGGCCGCAGGGGAGCGCGGTGGGCGGTGGTCCGGTCACAGCCCGTCGAATAGTCCAAGGTCGTTGGAGCGGTCCGGGCACGCGCACCTGCCACCGCACTTGCAACCTCTGCCTGACACGGACGACGAGGAAGGGGACGATAGACGGTCACGGACCGTGCCGCTGGGAAGCGGATCCACCCAGGAGTGGGCGGCTATAGAGCTGTTTGGACGCCGCGACGACGGTAAAGGGCAGTCGTACACCGAACTCCTCCAGCAGGGGCTCAGCGACACCGATGGCGATGGCGGCGTGAATCTGTCGTTTGGACTCGGCATCGGGAGGTCGGCAGCCGTCTCTCGAACGGTCGTCGTGAACCCCCATCCCGACGACGATGGCGGCGACGTGACGGCTGTTCAGCGATCACCCAGGTCTCCAGCGCCATTGCGGGAGGCTTCGGGGAACAACAACGATCCTCCTAGGCAGCAATTTCGGTCGCCATCTGTGTGTAGGGGTGCCTCCGCTCGCCCCCAGTGGATGCAGTCTCTGTTTCCCTTGTCTGCCGGTTCGAGTGCAGGTCGTCGTGTTGGCGAGTGTAGGGAGACGGCGCCTGTCGTTGCTGATGTTGGTGACGCACGTGACGGAAGGGAGGTGTGGGCAGAACAGCGACGGTTGATGAGGTCGGTGCGGGAGGAGTCCATAACTCGGGGGGTGCAGCGATTGCGTGTTGGGGAAGACGGGCACGACGGCGAGGAAGCAGGGGTGGACGCGCACGACCCCGACTGGAACGACAACGGCGCTGAAGGTTGGGAGGACGACGCAGGCAACATTTCGTCGTCGAAGCAGGCAGCCGCTATGGGAGGGAGGGGCGGGAAGACGAAGTCGTGTGGCGGTAATGGTCGTCGGGGCAAAAGGACGGCTGGCAAGGGCAGCGATGCCGAAGGTGACGTCGATGGTGAAGGAGGTCGTCACTTCTGGTCCGTCGACGACATTATAGCCCTCATCCGGGCTAAATGTGATCAGGATGCGCATTTGCAGGGGATGGGCCACGCGTACGCTTGGATGAAGCCGCGAGAATGGAAGTGGCTGGATGTGGCGACGAGGTTGAAGAAGGTGGGCGTCGACAAAGAGGCCGATCGGTGCGGGAAGAAGTGGGACAATCTGATGCAGCAGTTCAAGAAGGTTCATCATTTCCAAGGACTGTCCAGGAAACAGGGCTTCTTCCAATTGTCTGGGAAGGACAGGATGTCGAAGGGCTTCAGTTTCAATATGGATCGTGCGGTTTACGATGAGATACTGGGGTCGACCGCCAAGAACCACACCATAAACCCGAAGAACGTCGCGGACACTGGCGCTCAGGGTGGTGTGCGTCTGCCGTCCGCCTCCAACGCGGATCCTGAATCTGTGGGCAACGGGGACGGTGGTGCAGAGCACGATGACGACGACGACGGGTCCACCAAAGGTTCTTCGCAGACGACGGTGGCGCAGGCGGTTTCGGCAAGAGGAAGAGCACAAGGCAGCAAACATTTGAGGCAATGACGGAGTGCATGGAGAAGCACGGGGCGTTAATGGCGTCAACGATGGAGAGCAACAACCAACGTCATTGCTCCATCGCCATACGTCAGTCCGAGGCGCTGGAAGCGGAGATCGAAGTGCAGAAAAAGCACTACGCAGCGTCAGATGAAGTCAGCAAGCTTATGTGTCACGCCTTGCTGGAGATAGCGAAGGCCATCGGCAAACGTTAGACTTAGTGTCGCCTCTGTTGTGCTCTCTGTTCGCTTGCATGGAATTGGACGGAGCGAAAGTGATAGTCTTTCCGTCGTCGATGTAGCTTAGCTTAGCCATCGCCGTCGTTGTCGATGTGTCGTTCCCCCAATGGCGGTGCTGGCCAAGGAATTGGGTACTGGTCCAATTCGGTGGATGAGTCCTTCGGTGAAATTTGTTTTCGTTTTTAAATTTATTTTTTTTTTTACATTGTTCGTTTCGTTTGTTGTTGGCCTCGATCGTGTGACGGGACGGATGATTCCGTCAACTCTGAATTGTAATTGTCATCAATGAAGTGCAGTATGCACTTTCCTTTTTTACATGACGACATCGATTTCATTCTCTCTCTCTCTCGGCCGCCGCCAACCTCTCACAACAACTGCCGACCCGGGAGAAGAAGGGTCGCGACATAGCCAGCAAGAAGAGGAAGATCCTCGAAGGCGCCCCGCCACATGGAGGTTACGTGGTGGATGAAGAGTGGGTGCCGGAGGACGTGGCGACGCAGGAGGGGATGGATTTCGAAAACTCTGACGACATGCCGTTGCAGCGGAAGTCGTCCAGGCGGGGGAGTGGCGGCATCCGCATAGACGACGCTAGCGAAAGACGACGCGCAGGAGGGCGGCCAGCACCAGAAGACGTCCTCGACGTTGACGCCGCGACGGCAGCCAGAGAGGGTGGGGGAAATCGTGCGCCACTCCCACGTATGACTCCACCAACCGACGCGCGGTTCGCTTACGGACACCGCTGACACCACGCTCGAGGACGGCTGCAAACGTGGCCTTGTCGGGGGGGCCATCACAGGCGGCGGGAGGGGTGAGGGCAGGCGGGGCAGCGGGTGTGGGGGGATCGCACACGGCGGAAGTGGCGAGGGA